ATGATGAAAAGGAAGTTTTTATTGGTTGCTACTGGTGTTCTAATGGGTTCTGTAGACTGCTTAAAAAAAGAGGAAAGGACAACCATTTAAAAAACTGAGATGGTGAATCTTTTCAGATGGCATAAAGCTGGAAGCCATAGCTAATATCTAGAAGAGAAAATTAGGAGGCAAAAGGATTTCTAACAGGCCAAAATAAAGGATGCAGCAAAGTGAAATTTAATATAGATATTAGTTTGGTCTGGCAAAAGCACTGGCTTTGAAAGATGCTTTATATGGATGGCCATTAAATATTTTCCAACCCAGAAATCTCTGAACTTTACCAACAGTTGTCCACAATTTGGGGAACAAATCACAACACTGATGGCAACACAGCATTAGTCACCAATGTACACATCTATGCTGGTAGCAGATACTTTCTAAATTACACAATGATTCTATTTACAGACAAATGCAAACATCTGATCTTCTTATAATTTATGGTATAGGTGTACCTGATCATTTACATTGAAATAGGTATATTATAGTTTATTTTCCTTTTATTCTCCATTATGTTAGGACCTTATATTGATTTTTTATATTTTATATGGATTTACCTCAACATAACAAGGGGACACTACAAAGCATTTGTTAAAACCCAGTATCTCAATAAACATTCCACAAATGATTGGCTTCACAGAAGCAAGTATGAATTGCAGGTTTATAAAAGTTCTTCAATCCTACGTCAGCCTTGCTGGCTTGTGGTCTGCTTTTTTTCTGACAAAACCAGCAATAAAACCTTTAAAAAAAGAAAACCCTGTTTTATTGAAGTGTAAGATACATATGGTAAAGAGCACCAATCTTGCTTAGAGCTTACTTATTTTTTATATATGTATACAGCTATGTAATCAACACCCAAGGTAAAGATACAGAATATTTATAACACTTCAGAAACACCCTTGTGTCCCTTCCTGGGCCATAAGCTATCAGATCAGAGGTAACCATTATTCTGAGTTCTTCAACATAGATTCATTTTTGACTGCAGGATCTTATATTTTAATATTTCAATTAGTAAACTACACTGTTCTATATGCTGTATATTTTTGCTGTCTACTTTCTCATCTTTATTTTGTGCACATGGATTCAGAGCTTGTTAGCTATTTTTATTAGAACTAATGTTTACTACACCTTTTTACTATAAAGGGTAAATGGGTTCAGTTTTACTTTCTATTATATCGACTAAATTACATTGCCGATCTCAGTCAGGGCTGTGTATGGCATACCTTCCTGCTTGAACATCACCTTCCCTAAAGAGGAACAATAGATAAAAATACCCAGTTTACCTACTCCACAAATTCAACCTACAATGTTCCTTATTCATAAAAACAAGGAACCTTAGTATAAAAAAAGTAATATACCTAAAATTTCTAGACTATGCATATAAATACATGGAATAATTAATAACTGCAAATTTATCTACTGAGGAAAGGCAAATGCATGTCAATACAATGAAATGTCCTACTATTAATAAAAAAAGCTAAGTAAAAATATGAAGAAAAATCAGGTAAAATAGTGACTTTTAAAAAGCTTCAAAATGATAAGCAATATAGGCAGGTAAAATATTTAAATAGTAGACTGAGAGTTTGGAGTTCTGCATTTGTTTCCGATTTCAGATATTTGTATTCAACTTACAGTTCTGTTAGCTTAACATACAACACAACACTTAAATAAAATTTCATACAAAAACCACATAATCAGGGCCACTGTTTTATTTTCACAGGCCTTTCCAAATCAAGTCAGGAATGTAACACTAACCACATTGTTCACGACGATACAAGTCTTTGAACTCAAGGACCTTAAAATCTTTTAAATAATGTCTATTGTCTCATTTGTCTAGTGTCTTAAATACAAGACTCAGAAGTGGAAAAAAAAATTTTAATCCCATCTTATCTGGGAGTTAGTTCATTTGTGAAGTAAAAGGGACTATTTCTGTGAAATCATCTTAAAAGTTTACGATTAAGAACAAAATTTTAAGCTCCCAATGATAAAGTGATAAGAATTAGACTTAAGGGCTCTTCTTTTCAGACATAGTTGATGGCATAAGGTAAGATTCAATGACAAATTTCCTCTAGATAAGGTCAGTTCCTCTAATTTGACTCATTTCTGGGGATTTGCCTCTATCAAGTTGTTACACATAAATAACCATTTTAAATAAAAAGATAATTACCTCAAGAGTATATTAACTGAAGGTAGATGTGAACGATACCACCAGTTTGACCTCATTTCTAATGCCAAGTTAGGTATCAAAAGAACATTATTCCCTAGTGAGGCTGAGCTAAACCAAAGATTTTGGATCTAAACATACAGAATAATTTCTTGGGAGGCTCCGCCCTCCTTTATAAATCCATGCCTTCAACACTGGGAACTCTTCAGTTTCATTTTTACCACTTTAACAGAAGGCAATTAAGTATTTAATGCCCAGGAGAATACAAAAATGAATGAGACAGCACCCACACTCAAGAAAAAAAAAAATCTCTCTAAATTATATATGATCATATATAAAATAGCCAAACTTCCTAGGTCATGATTTAAGTGCAGCAAATCATTATCATACCCTTCAGTTGGTATCCTGATTGGAGCTCTTTAGAACCTGATGCGAAATAATGCAGATACTGTGAAAATGTCTTCATGATTTCGAAACATTGATTACAGGACATACGATTTAATATTAAAATGAATTTCCAATATTTAAGGCAAAATCAGTAAGAAATCATGTTACAGAGCTAAGGCCAAATTAAACTGTTGGACCTCTTCTGCGACCTCAAACACATAAATATACCGTGATAATATTTAGACCCTTATTTTAGGTAGCATGAGATTACTTTGAGAGCTGACTTTTATTTCATCCTCAAACGGGCTGCTGAATTAGCTTGAAAGGCTTCACTAACTCAAAACATAGGCACAATTCTTTAACTGACTTGCTATCATAGAAAAAAACTCAGGCATCTCAGAAAGCTTTTAGCATTGATAAGATTCCTTTTCTTCCTCTAAGGAGAGTCAAGGCAAGCTCCCAAACGACCAATTTAGGCAATATTTTAAAATACCGTGTTATGTAATTAATATTTTAACAGTATGCAATTTAATAGGAAGGTGACATCTTATCCAAGTGGAAACAGTCGGCCCCAAATAATCCCTAATTTATCCAAGAGGGAAGAAAACTGTTGAAGAATACTAACTTTGCCAATCACCTAAAGAAAGCTTCGTAGTGACTAAGGATCCCCCCTCCCCCCCGGCATAGGGGCAATACTAAACTACTGGAGCAACAGCTCCGCCTACTGATCAACAATACTTCCTTAAACATTTTGGCACCCCAAGTACAGTGCTCACGCTCTCTCCCCCTCCTCCACTCGCTCTGACCCAACCCAAATCCAGTTGAGTCACTAGCTGTTAAACCTCATCCCCTTGCTCTTTATTCCAATTCCTTCTCCCTCCAGAAGATTCTGCACGTCTCTCAAGTGTGAATAAAACTGAAAGGTGACAAACGCCAAGGTTCCCAGTGCGGAGCCGAGATCTGAAGAGGACAACCAGACCGCTCCACTTGGAGTGGCGGGCCGGGGGTGCCTCAGCCCTCCGTTCCCGGGCAGGAGACCCCAGGGGCCTCACACGAGCTTTTCCCCTGTTGCCCCGCTCAGCTGCTAGTCTCCACTCAACGCTCACTCGTCCTCTTGGCCGAAATCCTGGGTTCCCCGGGTCTTGCCTCTGTGGGACCTTCAGCCCGCCAACTACCCGAGCCGAGCCTCCGCCCCCTCCGTAAGCAGAGAAGCCCAGAAATCTCCCTCCGCCGGGTCTTCTCCCAGTGGCTCCCCTCCTTCGCAACCCCTCTCCCGCGCCGGCCGGGCCCTGCCCGGCTGCCCTTCCTCACCCTTTCATCTTCCCTGCCTGCTGAGGCCGTTGTTACCACCGATATCAACGCCGTAGTCGTCGCCGCCCTGAGTCTCAGCGCCCTGAGCTCAGGCCACTCAACCTAACAAGCCGGCCTCCCCGCCTAAGGCAGGGAGCTGAGCGGGTGACCGAGGCCGCGAGAGAGCAGCGCGGTCCTGCGTCTCCGGAGGGGGCGGGAGTGTCTCCCGCCGCCGCACTGGAGCCGCCGCTTCTCCACACGTGCACACCCGGCACTCTGCTCCCGCCCGCCACCGCCGCCGCTGCCGCTGCCGCCGCCGCCAGCCAGACCGCTGCCGCGCTGTGACCTTTCACCCCGCCCCCTCAGCGCGCCGGCGCGTCAGCCGCCTCCGCGCAGCCGCATTGCTGGCCTCCGCGCACCCTTCCCCCTCCAGTTCAGTACCTCCATCTTTCTACTGGGCTGTGCTGTCTCGCGTCATCTTCCTCCTCCCATCCCTTACAACACTACTTGTGGGGCTGGCCTGGTAGGCCCTGGCGGTGAAATCTGGATTTTTCCGCCTCTCCCTTACCTCTCCCACGTCAGTCTTCTTAGACCCTGTTCTTCCCAGTTGGTAGTCTCCCTAATGACCTTCAAATGCTGCTGCCTCCTAAGATTTTTATAAAATTGGTTTTTCTAAGTGTAAAGAAGTCTGGAAAACTCAAGTAAATGAGATGTTTCTAAGACAAATAAACGTAATTAACAATTGGCTGGATAAGTTGGCTTCCGTCCAGCACGTTTCAAGTTTTGAGATCACATGATGGCTCCAAATCTTTAAGCCTGGGATTTTAGCGGCGGGCGCCAGAGGGTCGGAACTCCATCGCCATTTCCGGTCCCTAGAGCATGGCGGCAACGTCACTTCCTTAGCAATGCATTTTTAACCCGTTCCACCCACGCTTTCTACGTTGCACTTTGCACCATAATCTTTGTGCAAGTTTTTGTTTTATTTCTTAAAATTTAGTTGCACAAAACTAATGTTTAAACAAGACGCAAAAATAAAGATCCTCAATATGTAGCGCGCCCCGCTGGCGACGGCAGGGCGGAGCCCAGGATCACGTGACTGCCTAGGCCCGCCCCTCCTCTGCAGCTGAAGACTTCCCCTCCCTCAGTGACAGAGCCTGTGGGTCCGTGATCGGTACTGTTTCTGCACCTCGCGCACTGGCAGGTGAGCGGCGACCGGTAACCGGCGGCTGGTGGATAGGCGAGGGGTGGGAGGAGGAAGACAAGGGAGAGTGTTAACGGCGGCCTCCGTTTATCCGGCCTTCCTCCCCGCTGTCAATGCTGCATCGGCAAGGATCTCGTTTCTCCAGTTCTCCAGACCCCCGCTCCCCCACTGTTTTCACCCCCGCACCCTAGGGGTTGAGATGTCCACTTTTCTCGGCGTTGGGGTTGAGTGTGGCCACTTGGTTCCCTATTCGGAGTCTTTGGGGCTTCGGGTAGTAGGGCTGGTTCAGCCATTCCTTGGGGTCTGCAATAGCCTCCAGGTCTCAATCCCCAGAGCCCATTCTTTGGCAGAGGCCCTGGTCTTTACCGTCAGCTTGGGGCTGGGAAGCGGGAAGGTAAGAAAAACCCTGGAGGGACAGGCGTCTCCGCTGAGACTGGCTTGGGAGAGAATGACACTGATGTCGCCGTCACTGCAGAGTCACTGTAAAGCCTGCTTCCAAACGGGCTTTCTCGGTAATTCTGACTTTTTATCTGATATCCTTGAGAGAGGCGTTCTATAGCTGTTCACACGCTTTGGAAGGGACTGGAAAGGTTTCTCTGATTTTATGGTGCAGTAAGGGAGAGGATAGTTGAAAGGATAAAGATGTACTCGCTTCAAACCTGGAGGTGTTAATACGACAGTCTCGATTGAATGGGGAGGCGTTTAAAGATGGTGTTGCGGTGCGGTGATATGCAGGAGACCCAAGCTAGCTTATGGGCAAGTCATTAGGTTTCACTGAAAGGAAACTAGTTCTTCAGAATTAGTAATTGGGCTAATACGCATATGATTAAACCAAATGTGTTTGACCGTAAACTTGAAAGGAGGTTATGCGGAGATATTGCTGACATCCTCTTCTGCCATTTCTCCTTAAAATCCTACTTAATTGCCTCTCCCAGTCAATTCCTTGACCGGTGGTAAATTTATTGTAAGTAGCACTTATGACCTTCCTTAGCTTTCCCTGTTTGTAAAACTTCAGGTGACCTCTTCAGGTTTTCATAGAGTATTTTGTGAAAATACAGAAATTATTTTGCTTAGGTTTTTGCCCAACCCATTGTACGTCCATTTCATTTGCAATGTAGTAACCAATGTTTTGACCCCAAACAGTGTGCTTTAGGGAAGAGTGTTTTTCAGTTTGGTGTTTAAACTCTTTTGTTTATACTGCAAGCTTAGAAGTCCCATGGTTCTTTTAACCAAGGTCTGGCAGAAATTACAAATTTGATTTTAAAATGTAATTTTTTACTCTGTAAAGTCATATTCTCGGTTAAACCTTTTAGTTTTCTAACCAATGTAATTGAAGAATCCATTAAAAAGAGCTGAAAAATGCGAAAGATGGACTCATTAGCTTTGAGTGGTGGATGTGACTTATTTTTGTTTGTATCTTCCAAATTCTCTGCAATAAACTGGTCTTATTTTGTTAAGGGGAACAAAAAGTTAAATTCTAGAGTAACAGCAATTTAACAAGATTTCCCTTCCTGCAGTGACATTCCACCAAATTAGACAAATTGCTTAAGTGTTTTATAGGTTCAAACCAGTCCTGTCTGGGTGAGACCAAAATGGGAAAGAGAAAACCAGTTAAAAAGCAGTGAGTACTAGGAGGGAAAATGTCAGTATAAAAGAGGTTGAATGACTCTGCAGTTTTACTGAAAAATTCCCCCAATTTTAGGGAACTTATGAAAGCAATAACTTAGACCACTAATGAAATTTGAAAGATTAGCAGCAATAGTTGGTGACTAAATTGCTGTTAAAGTTAAATGTGGAAAAAAAGCTTTGACATTATACACAATTTACACACACACACACACACACACACACACAAGTAATACAAAGCTTCGAAGCCAATTCTTAGACTAGCTTCATTAGATTATGAGTATTACATGTAGCGATCTTAACATTCATTAGGGAGTTGTGCTGTAGTCCAATATTAAATGGTACACAGGGATTTTTGTGTTAGGGTCTCCCCGACATCTCTTTTGTGCTTACCCTGAGGTCTTCCTTATATTTCACTGCCTATATAGATTATTTATCACCACCACCAAGAATGCTTTCTTTCCCTATGAGCAGAAAGCCACTCAATCCAGTAGACCACTACACAATATTTTCTGTTCCTCTATTTTCACTTCTAGCACTGTGTATTTATTAATAATTACACTTTTCTGGGATGTTCCTTAATAAACCGTAAAGCTCTTAGGAGTTCAAGTACAGTGTCTCTACTGTTGTGTCTTCAGCACCAGGATGCTGAAGTACCTGATAGATACTCAGGAAATTGTTTATTGAATGAGTGTTTGACAATTGGACAAGGAGATTAAACTACTTTTAAAGCTCTTGCAGATCACAGCTTTTTCTAAGGTTATGCACAAAGTATTAGCTTTCAAATATAAATCAGTAATAATCATCCAAATCATGGTCAATAGAATAGATATAAACCTCAGATGGATTTTATTAATGCAGTGACGAACTTATTTTCATCACATATATGTTTACATATATGTTTACAACATATCTGGATGATATTGAAAGGAAGGGAAGAGGAGTGAGTTGTACTTAATGAAAAAGTGGCTCTGTACAGGCACAAAGTGATACCAGTAGACTAAAAGTCAAGGGATCATCATTCAGCTCTGCCATTTTAGTTACATGCTCTTTTAAGTTAAGTTAGGATGGGAGCTTAAGATTACTCTTTGGAACCTTCCTCTGAAGGGTATTGTGAATTCAGATGAGGTTAAACTGTAGATAACCTAATTTAAAAACTAAGTGGTATTTAAATATAAAGCAATATACCATATTGCCCCATGTATAAGACGCACCCTTTTTTTTTGAAAAATTTGGGGTCTAAACACTGGGTGCGTTTTATACAGTAGTTGTAGATTTTTTTTACTTGCATTTCCCACTGAGGATGAGGCAATATATGAAGACAGTGATTTGTCATCAGACACAGATGAGGACAAGCTAATGGTTGGGAGG